AGCCTTGCGGCCTGTGTCAAGGCCGGCACCGAGGTAGAGGCAAGCGGTACTGGTCCCACAGGGGATGGTCCCGCTGCATAAGCGACCGGTGCCAGCTGATCACGCTGGTGCAGAGGCGAAGCTGGTTCCAGCACGGCCTCTGGCGTAGGCGACCTCGACCTCTCTGCCTCAACCGACGATGGAGGGGAGGTAGTGAGGCTAATAAAATCATGTGCCGCCTCAAAAGTGTCCGGCATGGAGGAACGGTGCGAGGGTAGCTGCCCTGGGCTGGGTGATCATCCCGCTCTTATGCTGCACAGTAATAGACGAGGACATGCTCACCAGAGACTCGGCACTGCGGTTGGACTTCTAGCTGGGAGACCTACCACGGGACGTTCTTGATCTCTTCGGTGCAGGGGAGTGAGAACGGTGCTGAGCCCTTGATACTGAGGCCCACTCCCAAGATGGAGCGCCATGCATGGACGATGGTGCACTGCGCACCGCAGAGTGTCCAGTCGGTTCTGGCTGTAAAGCCGCCTCCATGAGGAGAAGTTTTAAACAAGAGTCCCTCTCCTTCTTCGTGCACAGCTTAAATGACCTGCAGATCTTACAGGCGTCTGTTAGGTGGCCCTCACCCAAACACTTCAGACAACTATCGTGAGGGTCTCCTTTGGGCATAAACTTCGCGCACACAGTGCACGCCTTAAAGCCTTGCGGCCCTGGCATTCCTCACCCCCAAAGGGGGAGAAGAAAAAACAAAAAGCCACTAACTATCTAACTAATTTGAACTATTTACAACACCAAGAGAAACGGGGACCATTAACTGCTCTAACAGAGAGACACGCTCCAATGACCGTCACAGGCGGTAAGAAGGAACTGAGTAGGGGGAGCACCGGCAGGGGTACTTATGCCCCGCCATGGCGGCCCCACTCCAGGGGGCACCATACCGGCGCTACGGGCACCGCTAGGGAAAACGCTCCGGAAGACGCAGTGCACGCAGTGCGCACACTTAATTCGAATAGACATGAGCAACCACTCGAAGAAGAAACACTGATCTATACCAATGCACTGACTTAGCTATGGTAGTTGGCACAATGGAGGAGTATCAAGAGGCCAGCCCCCTCAACAGTCTGGAAGCCCTAAAGTTGGGGTACGTGCCCGCTTTCCGCAGGGCAAATACAACCCTGCAGACTCAGCTCCCTCTATTATGGTAAATATGGCCCTGTCGGCCTAGTCCTAAAGTACAGTCCCTTCTAGCAGGGTAAATATGGCCCTGCCAACCTCCTCCCAAACACACTCCCCTCTCTCAGGGTTACAATGGCCTAGCAGCCTAGCCCAAGAGAAGCCTCCCCGAATGCTGGGGAGTGGGATTGTTGTGGGGTGGGGAGGTATGGGGACCCGGGCCCTCACACTCCACCAGGTCCCAGCCTAGGGCCCTGTCAGCAGTGAAAGCCCCCACTGCCTGCTCAGCGGGGCTTCACACCGAAATGCGTCGAGCTCCTGGGGGACAATCCTCTGACCTGGGCCACTTCCTACCATCCCCAGTGCTGCTCCACTCTTTAGGTGTCGCTCGGTGGGTTGGACCCTCGTAGACACGTCCTCCCAGGCTGGGGCTGTCGCCGGGGGGGGGGCCCCTGGGGCGGCTGCAGCGACTGCTGCCGGGGTTGCTGCTCCTGGGGTGGCTGCAGCTGCAGGGGCTGATTAGGAGCTCCAGCCTGAGCCCCTTCCCCCCCTGTGGCTTCCTGGGCTTTTATACCCAGCCTCTCTCTCAAGCATGCCCAGCAGGGTCATGGGGGTGGGGCCTTCTTGGCCAGCTGGGGCCACACACCCAAGGCTGGGTCAGGAGATCCCGAACTGGCGGGAGTGTTATAGACTCCTCACTGAGCATATTCACCAGGATAGGGAACCTGAACTGCCTGGGCCACCGAGGGGCTATCAGGATGACCGTGGACCTGAAGGTCTTGACCCTGGTCAGAACCCTGGGAATTAGGAGAAACGAAGGGAAAGCATAGAGGATGCCTGCCGGCCACAGCATGGTCATGGCATCCCCCCTGGAGTGTTCCCCCAGCCCCAACAGGGAGCAGTGACTCTGGCACTTGGTGTTGCGTGCCGAGGCAAACAGGTCTACCAGGGGACAACCCCACCTGTGGAAGACCTGACAAAGGGCCGAATCCTTGAGAGACCCTTCGTGGGCTCCGAAGGACCTGCTCAGAGCATCAGCCAACAAGTTTTTGCACCCTGGCAGGTACTCTGCCTGCAAAACTATGCCGTGCACTACGCACAGGTCCCAGAGCCACAAAGCCTCGCGGCAGAGGGGAGGCGACCGGGCTCCCCCCTGCCTGTTGAGGTAAAACACAGCTGCCATGTTGTCCAGGTGGACAAGGACAGAGCGGCGAGACAGCTTCGACAGGAAGGTCTTGCAGGCTCTCCTGACTGCCCTGAGTTCCCAGACATTTATGTGCAGAGCCCGCTCTGCAGGAGACCACAACCCCTGGGATCTGTGACATCCCAGATGTGCTCCCCAACCCAGGTCCAAAGCATCTGTGTCAAGTGTAAGTGAGGGAGGAGGTACAGTGAACGGAACCCCGCTGCACACCACCGCCTCCTGAGTCCACCATTGTAAGGAGGCTATCACCTCCGGAGGCATTGTGAGAACCGTGTTCCAGAGACCCATGGACTGGTTGAATGCCTTTGCCAACCAGGCCTGCAGAGGCCTGAGCCTCATTCGAGCATGGCATACCACATACGTACATGCCACCATGTGTCCCAGCAACCTTGAGCAGACCCGGTCGTGATGGGGAACCAGATTAACTTGGAGACCAGCTCCACTATGGACAGAAACCTGGTTCTGGGGAGGAGTGCTCTCGCCACCCTGGCATCCAGGAGGGCACCTATGAATTCGAGGTGCTGAGAGGGAGTCAACGATGACTTCTCCTCGTTTAGCATGAGTCCCAGCCTTACGAAGAGGGCCCTTGTGAGGGAAACATGGGCCTCCACTTGGTCATAGGAATGACTACGAATAAGCCAGTCGTCTAGGTACGGAAAGACGTGTACCCCTCTTTTGCGGAGGAACACCGCTACGACCGCCGTGCATTTTGTAAAGACCCTGGGTGCTGTTGAAAGGCCAAATGGGAGAACTGTAAATTGTAAGTGGCATCGGGAAACAATAAAATGGAGAAACCTCCTGTGGCTGGGCCTTATTGCCACATGGAAGTAAGCATCCTTGAGATTGAGAGTTGTGTACCAGTCTCCTAACTGTAAAACCAGGATAACAGAGGCCAGGGTTACCATTCTGAACTTGGATTTCACCACCATCTTGTTGAGGTCTCTGAGATCTAAGATGGGATGAATCCCATCCTTGGGTTTTGGGAAAATGAAATACCAGGAATAAAACCCCTGCCCTTCAGATGTGAAGGGACCCTCTCCCCGGCTCCCTTTTTGAGGAGCGCTAACACCTCCTGATGGAGGATGCCTTAGTGAGAGATGTCCCTGAAAAGGGATGGGCCGGGCGGGTTGGAAGGGAGCGAGCCCTGGAAGGGGATGGTATAGCCATTCCTGACTATTTTTAGAACCCAGGCGTCAGTGGTGATTTCTGCCTAGGCATGGGCAAACCGGGATAACCTGGACCCAAACGGGGGGCCAGGGTGGGAGGCTGGTGCACAATTCTCTAGCAGCCCATCAAAACTGGTGCTTGGGCTGCTGAGAGGGGCCTTGACCAACCCCACGGTGGTTGTCCCCTCTCAGGCAGCGTTGACGACCCCTTGCAGCCGACGGGCCCGCAGCCTCCCCCACACCTCCACTGGGGGCACGAGGACGGCGTCTCCAGTAATCCCCATGGAGGACCTGGGACTGCGTTCTCCCCTGCTGTCTGTAGGGCATCTGACGACGCTGAGGAGCTGGCGTGTGTATCCCCAAGGACTGGAGAGTAGATCTTGTGTCTTTAAGCGAATGGAGCCTGGAGTCCGTGTGCTCCGAAAACAACGCTTTGCCATCAAAAGGCAGGTCCTGGATCATGGTTTGGATATCCGGAGGTATTCCAGACACCTGCAGCCAGGCACCACAGCGCATAACTACACCTGATGCCATGGTACAGGCTGCAGAGTCAACAGCATCCAGGGAAGCCTGAAGGGCTGTGCAGGCAATGGTTCTGCCCTTCAAGGTCACGGCCCAAACTCCTGATGGGCCTCGGCAGGGAGCTTATCCTTAAACTTATTCACCGCCTGCCATGTATTATAAGCATATCGACTCAGCATCACTTGCTGGTTAGCAATGTGGAGTTGCCCCCCACCAGTGGCATACACCTTACAGCCCATCAGGTCAAGGCGTTTGGGCTCCCTAGCCTTCGGGGACGGCCCCGGCTGGGGAAGCCTCTCCCTTTGAGCCACAGCTTGAACGACCAAGGACCCCAGAACAGGTTGGGAGTACAAGTGTTCGTGCCCCGACTGCGGAACGTAATAGCGCCTCTCGACTCCCTTTAAGGCAGGGGTCAGGGAAGCCGGGGTTTGCCACAGGGCGTTAGTAATCTTGGCCACAGTTTTATTAAGTGGCAAAGCCAAGCAGGCGGGCGCATTGTCAGAGAGAATGTCAATCATGGGGTCTGTGTCCTCCACTACTGGCTCCACTAGGACACCCAGCTTGGAGGCCAGACGCCTAAGCAGATCCTGATGCACTCGAGCATCCATAGTAGGCAACGCTGGTGCAGGATCCACCCAGGCTTCATCAGGAGACGAAGATGACGATGACACCTGGATCGGTACCGGATCCATCGTAGGGCCCTGGTTGAGGAGTCGGCTGGGCAGGCGGCACCGTTTGCGGAAGCGGCTCCGGCAACGAGGCTTGTGGCTCTGCTGCAGCATCTGTAGTAACCGACCTCTGGGGGGAAGGAAGGGGTCGTGACAGCGACGCCAATGGTTGCACTCCGTGTCCCGAAACACCAGACATCACAGAGGAGGTCACAGGCCCCTGCCACTGGTGGTAAGCCCACGTGAAGCCTTGCGGCCTGTGTATCACGCTGGTGCCGGGTACAGGATCTATGACGCGAGGAAGCTCCCAAGGACTCTGACCTGAACAAGGCTGGATCAGAATCCGTTGAGTCGTCAGACTCAGGCCAGGGAGGCACAGATGGCAAATGCCCTACCACCAACAGGGGAGCAAACGTGGCCATAGACTAGGGTTTGCCCGCGTACGTGCGATGAGGGCGTGCCAGTGCCAGTTGCGGCAGGTCCCGGTGCCAGTTGCAGTTCCGGATGCGGCAATGGGAGGACAGGTACCAGTACTGGGAGTGGAGCCGGTGCTGGGAAGACAGGTCCCGGTGCTGGTTGTGGTTCCGACACGGTGCATGGCTGTGCTGTCGAAGTCGGTATTGGTTGCCAGCGCAGAGCCCCGAAAGTCCTTCTGGTAGCAGCCCCATCGCTGTTCCCGGAGACTCTACCGCAAGCTGGAACGAAGGTGGTAGAGTTGTCGAGACGAACCTCGAAGAGACCAATGTTACCGGCGATGGTGGCACCGGCATGGCCCATGGGGCCGATGTCAGTACCTGTAACGGTGCCGAAACCTGTATCAGTGCCGAAGAGCCCGGAGCCGGAACTTGCATCGGTGCTGAAGAGCTTGATGCTGAAGGGCCTGGTGCCGAAGACTAGAGCAGCACCCCAGGAAAGCTGCTCAGCGCTGGTACCGATGATGGTGCCGCAAGGCTTGGGTGATATGACACCGGTGCAGCCAAGACAAGGTCTGGAAGAGGTCCCAGCACCCGAGGGGGGTCAAGCCCAATCGAGCACCAGGTGAAGCCTGGCGGCCTGCATCGAGGCTGGCACTGAGGTAGAGGCAAGCGGTACTGGTCCCACAGCATAAGCGACTGGTGCCGGCCGATCACGCCAGTGCGGAGGCGAAGCCAGTGCCAGCACGGCCTCCGGCGTAGACGACCTCGACCTCTCCGCCTCAACTGACGACGGAGGGGAGGTAGTGAGGCTAATAAGATCATGCACCGCCTCAAAAGCGTCCGACTTGGAGGGACGGTGCGAAGGTAGCTGCCCTGGGCTTGGTGGTCGTCCCGCTCACTTACGCCGCACAGTGGTAGACAAGGACGTGCGCACCGGAGACTCGGCACTGCGGTGTAGGCCCGACTTGGACTTCCGGCTTGGAGACCTACCACAGGACGTTCTTGATCTCTTCGGTGCCAGGGAGTGAGAACGGTGCCGAGCCCTGGATACTGAGGCCCACTCCCGAGATGGAGAGTTGCGCGTAGACACCGGTGCAATGCACACCACCGATTGTCCAGTCGGTGCCGGTTGTAAAGCCGCCTCCACGAGGAGAAGTTTTAAACGAGAGTCCCTCTCCCTCTTAGTGCGCTGCTTAAATGACCTGCAGATCTTACAGGCGTCTGTTAGGTGGCCCTCACTCAGACACTTCAGACAACTATCGTGAGGGTCTCCTTTGGGCATAAACTTTGCGCACACAGCACACGCCTTAAAGCCTTGCAGCCCTGGCATTCCTCACTCCCAAAGGGGGAGAAGAAAAAACAAAGAGCCACTAACTATCTAACTAATTTGAACTATTTAGAACTATTTAAAACACTAAGAGAAACGGGAACTATTAACTGCTCTAACAGAGAGACGCGCTCCAATGACTGTCATAGGCGGTAAGAAGGAACTGAGGAGGGGGAGCACTGGCTGGGGTACTTATGCCCCGCCATGGTGGTGCCACTCCAGGGGGTGCCCTGCCAGCGCTATGGGTACCGCTAGGGAAAACGCTCTGGAAGACACGGTTCACGCAGTGTGCACACCTAATTCGAATGGACATGAGCAACCACTCGAAGAAGACGACTCGAAGAAGATGAAAGTTGAACCACCCAGAACATATTTATTCAACTAACAGAACACAGAGAACGGATTGAAAGATGCAATGTGGTACAGAAACAAACACAATCACAACACAGACCTGAGGACCACAGAACCCAACCCTGCATCCTCCCTGGCCTGCTGTGTCAGCGCATAGTGCATCGTAAAAGTGTGTTCTGACGACCACGTGGCCGCCCTGCAGATTTCGGTAATCAGAATGGGACGAACCCCACCATTGGGTTAGGGGATGATGAAATAGTGGGACTAAAACTCCTTGCCCTGTAAACTTGGAGGGACCCTCTCTACCGCTTCTTTTTCGAGGAGTACCAACACCTCCTGCCAAAGAATCCCTTCATGAGAGGTGTCCCTGAAAAGGGATGGGGAGGGTGGGTTGGAAGGGGGAGGGCCCAGGAAAGGGATAGCATATCCACTCCTGACTGTGCCGAGTACCCAGGCATCTGAGGTAATTTCTGCCCAGGCGAGGGCAAACCGGGATAACCTGGCCCCAAACAGGAGGCCAGGGGAAGCGACTGGTACACAACTCCCTAGGGACCCATCAAAATGGGTGTTTGGATTGTTGAGAGAGGCCCTGTCCAACCCCACGGGTGTTGTCTCCTCTTGGGCGGCGACGATGAGCCCTTGTCAAGGAGGGGGCCGCAGCTGCCTCCGTACCATCACTCGGAGCATGAGGACGGCGTCTCCAGTAATCCCCACAGGGGACCTGGGACTGCATTCTCCCCTGTTGTCTGAAGGGGAGCTGACATCGCTGAGGGGGCGGTGTGTGGAACCCCAAAAAGCGAAGAGTCGACCTAGTATCCTTCAGCGTATAGAGCCTAGAGTCGGTATGCTCCAAGAATAATGACTTGCCCTCGAAGGGCAGGTCCGGTATTCTATTCTGGACGTCAGCAGGTATCCCAGAAACCTGGAGCCAGGCCAAGGCTGGATCAGAATCCGTTGAGTCGTCAGACTCAGGCCAGGGAGGCACAGATGGCAAATGCCCTACCACCAACAGGGGAGCAAACGTGGCCATAGACTAGGGTTTGCCCGCGTACGTGCGATGAGGGCGTGCCAGTGCCAGTTGCGGCAGGTCCCGGTGCCAGTTGCAGTTCCGGATGCGGCAATGGGAGGACAGGTACCAGTACTGGGAGTGGAGCCGGTGCTGGGAAGACAGGTCCCGGTGCTGGTTGTGGTTCCGACACGGTGCATGGCTGTGCTGTCGAAGTCGGTATTGGTTGCCAGCGCAGAGCCCCGAAAGTCCTTCTGGTAGCAGCCCCATCGCTGTTCCCGGAGACTCTACCGCAAGCTGGAACGAAGGTGGTAGAGTTGTCGAGACGAACCTCGAAGAGACCAATGTTACCGGCGATGGTGGCACCGGCATGGCCCATGGGGCCGATGTCAGTACCTGTAACGGTGCCGAAACCTGTATCAGTGCCGAAGAGCCCGGAGCCGGAACTTGCATCGGTGCTGAAGAGCTTGATGCTGAAGGGCCTGGTGCCGAAGACTAGAGCAGCACCCCAGGAAAGCTGCTCAGCGCTGGTACCGATGATGGTGCCGCAAGGCTTGGGTGATATGACACCGGTGCAGCCAAGACAAGGTCTGGAAGAGGTCCCAGCACCCGAGGGGGGTCAAGCCCAATCGAGCACCAGGTGAAGCCTGGCGGCCTGCATCGAGGCTGGCACTGAGGTAGAGGCAAGCGGTACTGGTCCCACAGCATAAGCGACTGGTGCCGGCCGATCACGCCAGTGCGGAGGCGAAGCCAGTGCCAGCACGGCCTCCGGCGTAGACGACCTCGACCTCTCCGCCTCAACTGACGACGGAGGGGAGGTAGTGAGGCTAATAAGATCATGCACCGCCTCAAAAGCGTCCGACTTGGAGGGACGGTGCGAAGGTAGCTGCCCTGGGCTTGGTGGTCGTCCCGCTCACTTACGCCGCACAGTGGTAGACAAGGACGTGCGCACCGGAGACTCGGCACTGCGGTGTAGGCCCGACTTGGACTTCCGGCTTGGAGACCTACCACAGGACGTTCTTGATCTCTTCGGTGCCAGGGAGTGAGAACGGTGCCGAGCCCTGGATACTGAGGCCCACTCCCGAGATGGAGAGTTGCGCGTAGACACCGGTGCAATGCACACCACCGATTGTCCAGTCGGTGCCGGTTGTAAAGCCGCCTCCACGAGGAGAAGTTTTAAACGAGAGTCCCTCTCCCTCTTAGTGCGCTGCTTAAATGACCTGCAGATCTTACAGGCGTCTGTTAGGTGGCCCTCACTCAGACACTTCAGACAACTATCGTGAGGGTCTCCTTTGGGCATAAACTTTGCGCACACAGCACACGCCTTAAAGCCTTGCAGCCCTGGCATTCCTCACTCCCAAAGGGGGAGAAGAAAAAACAAAGAGCCACTAACTATCTAACTAATTTGAACTATTTAGAACTATTTAAAACACTAAGAGAAACGGGAACTATTAACTGCTCTAACAGAGAGACGCGCTCCAATGACTGTCATAGGCGGTAAGAAGGAACTGAGGAGGGGGAGCACTGGCTGGGGGACTGCTGCCCCGCCATGGCGGTGCCACTCCAGGGGGTGCCCTGCCAGCGCTATGGGTACCGCTAGGGAAAACGCTCTGGAAGACACGGTTCACGCAGTGTGCACACCTAATTCGAATGGACATGAGCAACCACTCGAAGAAGACGACTCGAAGAAGATGAAAGTTGAACCACCCAGAACATATTTATTCAACTAACAGAACACAGAGAACGGATTGAAAGATGCAATGTGGTACAGAAACAAACACAATCACAACACAGACCTGAGGACCACAGAACCCAACCCTGCATCCTCCCTGGCCTGCTGTGTCAGCGCATAGTGCATCGTAAAAGTGTGTTCTGACGACCACGTGGCCGCCCTGCAGATTTCGGTAATCAGAATGGGACGAACCCCACCATTGGGTTAGGGGATGATGAAATAGTGGGACTAAAACTCCTTGCCCTGTAAACTTGGAGGGACCCTCTCTACCGCTTCTTTTTCGAGGAGTACCAACACCTCCTGCCAAAGAATCCCTTCATGAGAGGTGTCCCTGAAAAGGGATGGGGAGGGTGGGTTGGAAGGGGGAGGGCCCAGGAAAGGGATAGCATATCCACTCCTGACTGTGCCGAGTACCCAGGCATCTGAGGTAATTTCTGCCCAGGCGAGGGCAAACCGGGATAACCTGGCCCCAAACAGGAGGCCAGGGGAAGCGACTGGTACACAACTCCCTAGGGACCCATCAAAATGGGTGTTTGGATTGTTGAGAGAGGCCCTGTCCAACCCCACGGGTGTTGTCTCCTCTTGGGCGGCGACGATGAGCCCTTGTCAAGGAGGGGGCCGCAGCTGCCTCCGTACCATCACTCGGAGCATGAGGACGGCGTCTCCAGTAATCCCCACAGGGGACCTGGGACTGCATTCTCCCCTGTTGTCTGAAGGGGAGCTGACATCGCTGAGGGGGCGGTGTGTGGAACCCCAAAAAGCGAAGAGTCGACCTAGTATCCTTCAGCGTATAGAGCCTAGAGTCGGTATGCTCCAAGAATAATGACTTGCCCTCGAAGGGCAGGTCCGGTATTCTATTCTGGACGTCAGCAGGTATCCCAGAAACCTGGAGCCAGGCACCATGGCGCATAACTATCCCCGAAGCCATGGTGCGGGCTGCAGAGTCAACCGCGTCCAGGGAGGCCTGAAGCGCCATGCAGGTGATGGTTCTGCCCTCCGTGATCATAGCCCCAAACTCCTGACAGGCCTTGGGGGGAAGTTTGTCTTTAAACTTGTCCATTGCCTGCCATGTATTGTATGTGTAGTGGCTCGGCATCGCCTGCTGATTTGCGATGCGGAGTTGCACCCCACCAGTGGCATACACTTTACGCCCCACAAGATCAAGGCACTTGGGCTCTCTGGTCTTCGGGGAAGGCCCCGGCAGTGGAAGCCTCTCCTTCTGAGCCGCAGCTCGGATGACCAAGGACCCCGGGACAGGCTGGGAATACAGGTGTTTGTGTCCCGACTGCGGGACATAATAGCGCCTGTCAACTCCCTTTAAGGTAGGGGTTAAGGAAGCCGGGGTCTGCCATAGGGTGTTCGTGATCTTAGCCATGGTCTTATTAAGTGGCAAAGCCAAGTGGGCGGGAGCATCATCGGACAGGATGTCTATCATAGGATCCGTGTCCTCTATAACAGGTTCCACCGAGACACCTAGGTTGGAGGCCAGGCAGCAAAGCAGCTCCTGATGCGACCTAGCATCCATAGTTGGCATAGCCAGAGCCGGATCTGCTAAAGCCTCATCAGGAGGAGACGATGAGTCCTGAATTGACACCAGGTCCAGCGTAGGGCCTGGGTGGGGGGTATCACTGGCTGGGCAAGTACCACTGGCGCCGGTGGTGGCTCCGGTACTGAGGTTGTGGGGTCCCTCGTTGCATCCAAGGAGGGAGGGAGTCGCGACAGAGATGCCGACGGGGTCGATTGGTGCCCCAAAACACTGGCCACCATGGAAGGAGGCACAGGCCCCTGCCACTGATGATATGCCCACAGTGTCCAGAACGGCCACTGAGGCTGAGGAGGCCAGGTCTGCTGCATGTGGGGCCGATCTCGCCCGTGCTGAGAGCAGGATCTGTGCCCCGACGACAGCCTCGAGGACCCCGATCTGATTGAGCCTGCATCCGAATCTGAGGAATAATCAGATTCGGGCCAGGGTGGAGCCGAAAACGAATACACTGGTACCGTTGGGGGCGCGAGCCTGGCCATTGACTCAGGCTTGCTCACGTGTGCACGGCGAGGAGGTCGTACCGGTGCCAGCACCGGAAAAACTGTATCCATGCCTGGTTGTGGTGCTGACACGCCGCACCTTGCATACGGTGCCGAACTTGGTGTTGGTTGCGAGTAAGGCACCACAAAGTCCAACTGCCCAAGAGACGGCGCCCCTACCGGAGTCGGTAGGAGTGACCAGCCGGTGCCGGTTGAAGGAGGAGCTTCAAATGTGAATCTCTCTCCCTCTTCGTGTGCGGTTTGAACGACCTGCAGATCTTACAGGCGTCTGCTAAGTGGTCCTCACCCAAACACTTTAAACAACTATCATGAGGGTCCCCTTTAGGCATGAACTTCGCACATACCGCACAAGCCTTAAAGCCTTGTGGCCCTGGCATTCCTTACCCCCAAAGGGGGGTAAGGAGAACAAAGAACTTGCTAACTAACTACTTGAACTATTTACAAACACTACTCTAACTAGAAACGGGAACCATTAATTACAGAAGATAGACACGCTCCAACGACTGTCACAGGTGGTAAGAAGGAACTGAGGAGGGTGAGCGCCGGCAGAGGTACTTATGCTCCGCTATAGCGGCGCCACTCCAGGGGGAGACCTGCCGGCGCTACGGGTACCGCTTGGGAAAACACTCCGGAGAGACAGTGCACGCAGCACACACACCTTATTCGAATGGACATGAGCAACCACTTGAAGAAGAGCTTTGCATTTCTTCGCTTTTATTGATTTTAGCAACCTGAATGTTTAAGTAGAGGGATTTCTGCACTTGTTTATTTAAATATTGACTAACTAGAGGCTACAAAATACTCTCTCACAGGAAGTGTTATTGCAATATACTACTCTCATTTACCATATAAATACATATTTAAAGCATTTTAAAATAATATATTATGTACATAACAGACAATGGCTCCTTTACAACTGTTGTGCCATCATACACTATGTACTGTAAATATATATTTTGGAAGGTACATTAAGCATATGAAAACTACTTCCTGTGCAAAAAAAAATAGCAAACTTTTTATGTTAAATTATTCAGATGGCTATATTTTGAAAACAGCAAAAGTAATTAAAATTATTTTTCAAAATCTAAGCCCCTTTGGAATTATGAATTAAACTTATCAGTTTAAAACAGACTAAACTGGTTTTTTAGATCACCCTTGACTTAAGATTTTGTAAGCTAAATTTCAGCCTATATACAACTTTTACTGCTAAGTATTGTTTTGGGTTGTTTTAAACTTTTAATTTACATTTTACAAGGAGGGTTTTTTTTTTTTAAACAGGAAGACAGAGCCCCAAGTATTTAACTGTAAGCACAGGAGTAGTTCTACTTGTTGCCAATGGGATTATTGACATGCTTAAAATTTGACATGTACCAAACTGAATGAGGACCTAATCTACAGAGAGATAAACAGGTAACTGATAGAGATAAAATGGGTTATATAAGTGTAGTTACTGATGCATTTTAAAAATACGGGATTATAATGAAAGTGCTGACATACAAGCTGTGAATAAGTTTCAGAAGTTCTCAGTGTTGGTCTAACTCTGCTCCCATTGAAGTCAATGAGAATTTTACCATTATCTTCAGTGGCAGCATGCTTCTGAAATCCAAATTCTATGTGGTATTTAATGGTCCTCACTGGAATTGGTTTGGATTCTTAAGATTTAGTATGGACTGTTTGCATTTTAAAGTTACACCAAAGATCCTGGGATGGCTGCCTTCATTGTACAGTTATGGATCTACGATTTTTTAAAGAGCCATTTGTTTTGGAAATGTTGTCATATGAATTTACTTTCAGGAGGTGAATTAAAATGATGTCTCTGTTTTTATTACAAAGGTCATGTCAAATGTGATGATGAACCTGTCTGGAAAGTCTGCAGTCCGATCACTTTCCTTCTAGGACCAACCTCTCCCATAGGTGGGGCAAGTAGGGTGCTGCAGCAACCCCAGGTTTTGGGTGTCCTGGCTCCACTGCCAGCCCCACACTCCACTTGGCCCTGAGTTCCCTCCTGGCAGCCCCACTGTCAAGCCCTGCATGTGGGGTCCTCTGTCAGCCCGAGCTCTAGGGGGCAGTGTGGGGACTGGAGGGGGTAAATGGGGTTGGGGTGCAGAGCACCAATTTGGCACAAGAATGATCTGTCTGTTGCTCTCTGCCCCCGTCTCTCAAGGCAAAAATAGGATCTTTCTCACTCCCGAACTGCCCACCATGCTGCTTTGCATGGTCTCTCTTCACTGAGAAATGAGGAGAGGTTATTCAAGGAGCCCCAGAAAAAGAACCTGGCCACAATTGCTCCCAGCCTGTGGGACAGTTGCTCAGCTTGGAGAAAAGATCTCAGTGTCAGCATGACTTGTTGGGAGTCTTTGCATCTCTCATCAGCAGAGACTCCCCTGGGGCTTCTGTGGGAGCAGAGAAGGTTCTCTTCTCCAGTCAGACTTGGGGTAAGTCTGAATATCCCCACTATTCACTTATTCCTTCCTATGTGTGCCGATGAGTAACTTGCGAAGAAAAACCTACCTCAAAATCCAGGTTTTTAAAATATCTGAAACACTGGGAACACCGTATGTCAGCTGTAATTTCAATCCCTTTTCACTTCAAGCAGTATTTAACAACTTCATCTCTTCATACAAAGATTATATGTTCTCTCTGGAAGCCATATATCAACATTCCCAATACTTACCACAGGAAATGGATGGCAAAGAAGAAGAAACAGTTGAAATAAAACTTTCTCTCTCATGTCACCTTGAAACTGAATCATGCCACAAAATCTAGAAAAAAATCAGAATGCATAGATATTGAGTGGTTTCCTTTCACTAGTTAGTCGCAATGGTACATTTTATTGTTGAGGTTAATAATGCAGATGTATAAATAAAATAAAAGTTTTGCTTCCCTTAAAAAATCTCACTATTTTCTAACCACTGTGGGAAAGCAAACATTGAAGGAAAATATAGTAAAAAATCATGAAGGGCTAGTAAACGAAGTCTGGGGCATCACACTGCTATGCCAAATACAAATATGGTTTTTAAATTATTGACAGACAGCTTGAAAGAACGTGTGTGAAAATCACTACAAAGTGAAAGAAGTTCTCACACAGGGAAACAGAGACAGTGTAAGCTAATACAGGATTTGGTTAGGAATAATGGTCAGTTTAGGTATGTGGCTTATTGTCCATTTTGAGCTTTCTAGAACACTTTCAAAAAATGGAGTAGAAAAAGTGAACTAGCTGTAAACTAAGAGCATTGACACATTGAATCAAGAAAATCCCATCTATAGCCTCTGCTTTCACGAGAGTCACGCCAGATATTGTCATACCAATTCTGACAAGGAAGATCAATCCAGACTAACGTCACTATTGATTATTTTGGTCCCATCTACAATGCAGCTAATGCACTTCTGTCCTGACTTGAAACTTCTTCTTGCTGCTCCAGCTGCAGTTTTCTCTGGAGCAGAAACATCCACATTGGTTGTGTGTTCTAGCTCACAAAGAAGTTCTAGGGTGATTTATTTAATTGTGTTTGTTATCTAGCCCTCCAGAAGTAAAAAACTAATAATTTAACCAACCCATTTGGACACCAGCAGTTCAATCATTTGGGTTGGGGACACCTGGAATAAAATCTTTACTGATTCATTGTGTGGGTTTTTTTTTCTTAAAACACATTCATTAAAATCATGGAAACTTTCAATCACATGGGTTTTTTTTTCCAGATAGATTTGATACCAAATAGGCAAAGGAGATCAATTCTCCAATCATGGCACTCCAATGCTCTCTGTTCAGATGTTGACTCTTTCTCCATTCCCTGAATTAGAAAAAAAGATTATTGTACCAACTCACACTGCAATGCTGGAGCGAAGTTTTTGAATATCTTTGGATTTCTTGATCTCTTCTTTGCAAAGTGTAAGTAACTTCAAAGCAAACGGATGGCTGAAATTAAGTTTATTTTCGTTATTCATTTTATAAGGCAAACATTCTCTTAAAACTTATTTCTAAATGTAAGTAGCTGTCATGGAAGGTGTCAGATTAATAGTATTATTCACAGAACAAAGACAGGGCAATAGAAGAAGCTCCCCCACAATCCTCTGCCAATAAGATTCACCCCTTTCTAATGGTGAGAATTTACTTCAGCCTCAATTCTTGCTCAGTCACTCACCTCTATATCGACAAAAGGGAAATAAATGCTCATTGTTTTGTGCTGGGATTACCTACTCACTGGGGAAGTGAATGATAACCAAACTCATTCCATGTATGCCACCAAGCAATTCTATGTCATGTCTTGTTCTTACTTGTGGCCTGTGTCAGATTAGTAATCTGGCAAAGGAAGAGAGAAAACATTTTATATCTTCCTAAAAATGGATGCATGTAATGCATTGCTCTGGTACCTAGTCTTTAATCATTCCACACTGTTTTAAAATTCATCAACTTTTTTTTTTGCTTAAAGTGAGGATTAACGTACTATTATACCATCATGGTGCCCTTAGCGATGCCTAACAATATAATTACAATAGGGACTGAAGTTCTCCGAAGTTTTACTGATAAATGCAGTTGAGTTTGAAGCCATGTTGAAATATATTTAGCAAGGGTGGTTTTTTCCACACATAATATGGGAAATGTGGTTCTCAGCTCTTTCCCAGACACTTATACAAACAGTGTTGTTTTATACTGTTTGTTCATATTTCATAGACTCTGAGAATATATTATTAAATTTGCAGCATAACTTGTTTAATCTTCTGCTCGGTACTCTTAAGGCATCTGAATCATAAGCAAACAGCAAAATAATGTGCTATGTCATAAATATAGCATGAAACACTTTTTGATTTGCTTAGAAAAATATAACCCTAGTAAAAAATACTTTTATTTTATTTCTAGACCAAGCCTTTAGAAACCCTCCACTGTATTAGGTGTGAACAGTATGAAGCAAAATCCAGACATTTATCTGTTATGTTGATTTGAACTGTAGATTTAAAAATAAGTTTAAGCTGTACAATAGAACTTATTTATTTTCCAACAATAAAAAGACAATGGGCATGGCAGGAAGTTATAATTTGCATACAGTAGGTTACCTTGTGCCTCACATTATTTCAAAAGGTAATCAGCGACTGAATTATCTAACTTGGAAGCCACAGTGGTAAATTCTGTGCCACAACCACAGCCCCACACAGTATCAGCACAGCTCCCACCAGGCCAAAAGAATGCAATTGGAGAGAAGTGTGCATGTGAGAGACATTTGAAGAGGGTAGTGTGCCTGTATGAACTTGTGAGTTCATGTGTATCCATGTATAAGTGTATGGTCAGGTAGGTAGATGTGGATATTAATCCCCAGCTGTGTATGGCTGTATGAGTGGAGTGAATTGTGTGTGTGTCATTACATATTAAAGACTGGGTATTTTTCCTGTGCTGGCAAATTACACAAGGCTAATTCACAGACTGGCTGAAGGTTACAGGAGTTTAATAAAAATATCTGCAATGTGTGCCTGCCTTTCAGCACAGGAGAACAGCAATATAGAGAATGAGGTGAGATTTTTAAATCGATGCAACAATATAGACATTGCTGAAAAGCACTGCAACAAAGAGGCCAACTGGAACCGAGCATCTGGAAAAATTTAGTACGTGTAGCCTTATGTGCAGCACACTTTCCTTTCTGTCATCTGCCAATTTCACATTTGTACTAACTAAACCTACCCTATGTGTGATCTCAGATGACTCAAATAGCTTGGCCTCTTTAAAGGAAATTGAGAAAATTCCTTCTCCTGTGTGGGCATGGTTCCAGTAGAAACAGAATCAGTATCTGGGGAAAAGAGATCAGTCTGAAGTCTTTACATTATGTAAATTGGGCACACGTGTTCCTGCAGAAAGAATTTTTGTTTTAAGATGAGCTGCATTTCAATTAGGTCAGTCATGACAGTACTTGGGGTGGTCTTGAAATTAGAGGAGAGCCATGCTGTGCCCTTTTTGGCTTAAGCTCTATTAAGGAATGGAATTACCACTACTTAAAGGAATCGCCAGTAGTACCAAAATCTAAGAGTCACATCCATAATGAAACCTGCCATTTATGGCACTTTATAAAACCATCTGCAAACACTTATATCAATAGTTTTAGAAAGGAGAGGTCCGAATAGCTGAATATTAGATACCTGTGTGATATTGCCAACGGCACTGATGACTTAGTGACTATTTTGTTCAAACTCAGCTAAGTATTTCTAACCTTACGTGACCAGGAATTTGAGATTTCTTCAATGGAACTACTCCGGAGGGTAAGAGAATCACAGTCTGGGCCTGTTGTATTACAGCCCAGTCCTTTAAGATTCCCAGTACCCTCATCTCCCACTGACCCCTTGCAGGATCAGTCTTCAAGCAAGCATCCTGCAAACCCCAGCACACAGGGCTTAGACAATAATGGGCTTTAAAACCACTGGTGAAAAATGTGCTAGCTTAGGTCAGGAATGGTGGCAGAGACTAAACAGTCCATCAGAATTACAGTACTCTTTAAAATGGAGAGGAATGGCGAAGAGGCCATGTGGGCGAATATGAATTCCATACAAATTCACAATTTTTATTACGCTAAACTTCAGAGTTTTATGGAACAGCGTGCACCTCGAGAGAGGAACCAAGACACTTCAATGCAAAAGTACAGCAGCCTGTAGAGAGGACAAAAGGAGACTGGACTTGAATGAGAAGTGGCATGCAGACATTTCATCTCCATAGCACGGATTCAAACCCAGCCAAAGGCAACAGCAAATGCAAGTTATCACAGTTACTGTCAGTTTGGTCAGCTAGGAGGAGAGTTTGCTCCTGATATTTCCTATTACACAGGTCTCCATCTTGTAATTGGTCTCCTTATCGGCAGCCTCAGCAGAGGCGCAAAGGACTGACTGGATTATGAAGATTCGGCGCCGCTCTCAACCCTAAGCACATGGACAGTTCTCTGGAAATAGCCAAGTGATGTTTGTCCAGAATCTAATAAAGACTCCTAGTAGTGTTAAGCCTAGCACATCTCACAAGCATCAAAAGCCATTTATACAGAGCTATGAGAAATGACTTCCACTGTCTTTTCCGAAGCCCAGCTTTAGGGGGAAATCTTGAATACGTGAGAGAAGGCAATCCAAGCTGTGTTTCTATGAAGCAAGAATGACATCCAGTGGCAATTCAAAGCATTTATGTATCAAGGGGAAAATAATCCAACCATTAATCCAATTGCTATTACATCAGTGTTGAACTCAGCAACAATTTGGATCGTATTTACCTGCTCTAATATTTTTTGCAATTACTACTGGAAAAAAGGAGACATGTAACAGAACAGAAATTTACATTTGCAAAATACTTTTTAGAATTAATTTAACAAGAGTTAGCTGAAGGTTAAGCAGTCATTGGCATCAAAATCACAGGTGTTGTAAATCAAGAAGATCTTGCCAAGATGTAGTTGCCCAGTTAAGAAAATAACCCAACAATTAATTTTATGGGCTGATGTTCCAGGCCCTTGAGCAAGAGGTCTCTAGCTCAAGTGTCATGTAGCTTATTACTGTACATTCCTCATGTTAAATAAAATCAATCAGCTTTTATAATTCTTAGCTGATTTTTTGTAGGACATGAATGGGAATTAAAAATGAGGAAAAGCATCCACCTCTATGCCGCTAGCACTCAGCACTTTTTATATTCATTCTAGCTCTGAAATTGTATGCTGCAAGTTCTAGGGCAGCGGGTCTACATTTCAATCCAACCCATTCTGTGTTATATTTTCACATCCTCTTTGGCACGTTTCTTTGGCCGTGGGATATACAAGTGGTTCTGCTCAAGCAATCCGCTCCAGCAGTCACACTCCCCCATCGTCTTTCACACAAAAAGCAGTGACTTCCCATACTGCAGTGCAGCAGACAGCAGAGAGCCAGGGCCAGGATTTAACTGTCTCTTAACCATCCCGGGAAGATTCTTCCATGATGAACTAGAACTCCTGGGACACAGGGCAGCGCTCTGGAACTTTGTCTAGCTACCTCAGGATTTTCAATAGCATCCTCCTAGCTCTTCTGAGATAAATTAGATCTGTATTCAGGGAAGCTAACAGCCATGTGAGGCCCTGGGAAAGGGGTGGGGTGGGGTGGGGGGAAAGAAAGCTCCATGTTCCCAGATGGGGTGGGACTTTGGGTGGAAGAGTTGGGATTGTACAGTGTCAGCCCTCAGCGCCTCTGGACGCACCCTATACTGCCTCTCACTGCCTGGAGCATGCCGCCTTCAGCTAAGTACTGTGGCAGCAGCAGTGGCCTGGAGCCCTGGACCCTTTAGAATCATGGGGATCTGGGACAGTTGCCCTCCCCCCGCCGGGCATGCCTTTATTGCAAGACAAGTCAAATTTTAGGCGCCTTAATCCTCTACATAAGGAAGGGAGAGGCATTACTCAGATTAATATTAGATTACTATGTGGCTTGATTTTGTCTGAAGGTGGTGGTGGGTTTTCTTTTTAATTTTTAGTATTCCAATTAGAAATGTTATCAGATTAAGAAATATACTCTATACCTGAAATTAGAAATATTCATAGAATTAAAGCTATAAAGTATAAACTTTTAAAGTACATCTACTGAGAATGATTTTAACATTAAAGAGTTTAAAAAAAATAGATGCCAAATGCAGTATAAAATTGCATGCAGTGCCGTGCCAAGTATCTGCAGATGTGCAAACCTACTGCTTTTCAGACTTCACATGGAATGTTTATTGTTCACATTTGATCAGTCCCAGGGTATTACCTTCCAGAATATTTAACTTGACTGGAAACTTTGGGCTTTCTCCTGCCGCTCACATAAGAATGATTTTTTTTAAATGGCTGGTCAGCAAAGGCATTTTGTCTCACCATGTCACATAGCGAAACACGGCCAGTGAAATGTACACAACATGGGAAACAATATATTTATTCCCAAGAAAATGTGCAGCTTATTATGACTGTAGATGAATTCTCAGCAACTGTACAATCTGTCCCTGCTATACCTTCTCTGGATGAAAATACGTGGATTGACTCTAGTTCATTTGCTGGTCATATAGCAGCTATAAAGAAAGAGCTAAGATAGGTTAAAGGGATACCCCCAAGGCTCTTAGCCCCAGTATTTGGCCTTTGTATTTGGCCTTTCTTGAGAGCTGTTCAATGGATTATTGTAGCTGCAGGAAAATTTAAACAGAATAATTAAGTTGCTTAATATACAGAGTCACGTGTGCCTTGGTCTAAGGCAGCTCTTCATTTTCACTACCACAATATGTACCCTATTTTGTTTGTTGCAAGATTTTTAAAAGCACACAGCATATTGTGAAAGAAAAAGTCACCCAAACAGTTATAATTACTATAAAAACGGCCATACTGGGTCAGACCAAAGGTCCCTCTAGCCCAGTAGCCTGCCTTCCCACAGTGGCCAATACCAGATGCCCCAAGGGAGGGAACACAACAGGGAATCCTCACATGATCCCTCTTCTGTCACCCATTTCCAGACAGAGGCTTCACCCACCCTTTCTACACATCATGATTAATAGCCATTGATGGACCTCACCTACACAAATCTATCTAGCTCTTTTTTGAACTCTGTTAAAGTCCTCGCCTTCACCACATCCTCTGGAAAGAAGAACTTCCTTTTGTTTGTTTTAAACCTGCTGCCTTTTTAATATCATTTGGTGACGCCTAGTTCTTATGTTGTAGGAATAAGTAAATAACTTTTCCTTATTCACTTTTTCCACACCAGTCATGATTTTATAAACCTCTATCATATCCCCCTTTAGTCTCTTCTTTTCTAAGCTGAAAAGTTCAAGACTTTTTAATCTCTCTTCATATGGGACCCGTTCCAAACCTCTCTTATAATTTTTGTTGCCCTTTTCTGAACCTATCAGGGGTTATGGTGCATTTTTCAACATGAGCAAAGATCAAGGATCACTGTCAGGGTACAGATGATCAAATGCTGGTTTTCAGAACACTGCCATTCAGCTGGGGGTAGGTAACATTCTCACTAGTAACACAATACAAATATGTCAATTAGCTACAACAACAGCTACCCCTCTTAGCGCCCTCTGTATAAAACAGCTGTTTCAAAGCAGAATAATTACTACTTACTTCTCTTCAGTGGTGAAGATGTCAAAGCAGCCATTAGCTAGCATCTGATCCAGCATCTTTAACAAGGGCACCGATACTCTAAGTTTAAAAAAAAATGTACACACTGTACAGTCATTTCTTGGCACAGATTTCATTTATACACTTACTTGTATAGGAAGCAAGGGGGTGGGTGAGGAAACCTCCCATCTACAAACATCTATTTAAATTAGAATTCCACTTCACCCTAGGGGAAGGTTGCTAGGCTGCTTGTGAGTTGGCTAAAATCATTCTCGTTGGCTGAAACAGCTGCATTCTTGTTGCAGCCAAAGGGAAGAGGCTGGTCAACAGCTTGTGAGTGTAAGTCTGTGGGGGCCTGGAAACACAACTAAAACTTGTAGGATAATTTTTATGACCCTGAACAATGTACTTTACGGAGTTCATTAAAAGTTGCCAACACTTTCCATTTAACCTAGTTATTGAATGGATTAGAGCATGTGGTATGGCAGCCATCACAGCTACCCATGTATTCCCAGTTGAGTTAACTCTGACAGACTGAAAATTCTGCTAAACTTCATGAACAGAAAAAAAAACTCCCCAGGAAAACACACTCACTTGCAAACACATTCAGTAAGTGGTGTTTTAGTGACTAGGTCTTACTGTGTAAAAAAAATCTGGCCTATTTTTATGTTAAAGAATGACAAAGAAACCCTTCCTAAAAAAATACATGGCAGATAATTCTACATATAGCTCAAAAAAACTTTTTATCACACCAATCTGCGCTTTCTCAGGCATGGTGTGAGCACTGTAAGCCCAAGTACTTGGGAGGCTGAGGCTAATGGATCATTCAGGGGTTCTGGGCTGTGAAGATCGGATGTCAGGTGTCACTGACAGCCTGGCCAGTGAGTGGCTGAAGCACTGGCTAAAACAACATGACTGATGTGATCCACGCTCTCTTGGAGGGCTGATGGACCAAGTGGTCCAGCAGCTCCCCTGAGCATTACATTATATGTAATCATTACAGCTTATCACAGTATCGCAATAAGGTAAATGCTTCCTTCTTTCTATAGGGCGCTGCACCATAATTCTATCTTTTCAGAGTGGGGGAGGGTTATTCTTGTTGAACGTATTCTCTTTCTTCCAAACATCTCAAAATATTTAAGATACAACCTGAGACAACTGTCATAATTTGAATGATCAGCTCAGTGCAGGTTGTTTCAACTACTTTATGAGAAAGATTACCTGTCATTCAGCAGGTTATCCTCAAAGACCCGTAACAAAGTCTCACAAAAGGTGTTCATAGCGCACGGATTGTTTTGGATTTTCTTCATATAGTCAAAGAGGCTCTGTGCAGAATACCTGACCTACAAAAGATAAATGTTTCATGTGAAGCAGGGTGCAAAACACACTTGGCATTGGCTAAAATAAATTTAAAAAACACGAGCAATCATGAAATAAATATGTTCATCCCCCACTACTTAAGCTGCACATTTTTGTGAGGAAAAGATACACCCTTTACATCAAATCCAACCGTGAGTCCAGCATTTGACAGGAAGACAGCCATTTCGCTTTCCATTTATGCTGTATTGTTTGTCAAAAGTTAAAATTTTGCCACTGTAGTAGCTTATACAAACGGGGGGTGGAGGGAGCGGGAAATCAATAAAAGAATCACATTTAGACCAAAACAAAAACAAACAAAAAACCGTAGAAAACCCACTATTGTGCTTCTGTACTTCAAAATGCACACAAAGCCCTTGCGCACCCACTCACTTGCACAGAAATCACTGGCAGAGGTGCACGTGCCTGGGAGCAGCAGGACTACAGTGTTTTAAACATTTATCAATGAATTTTCAAGTACTTCAGCCAATATGTAAATAACACTTTTCTATAATGTATTTTGATAGTTTTAACAGTAGTATATACCACATTATAAATAGCATATTGTAGTACCACCAATTAGCAGAAGTTGGACTATCTACATGTAGATATCACTCAAATTCAGTAATTACTGAGGTATACTAGTTTCAAAACTAAGGGTTCGTCTAGACTATGCGGAAGATTCTAAAGAGGATATGCAAATTCTGTGGGAATTTGCATATCTTCTTCAGAAAGCAGAACTTTTGAAAAGTGAAAGTAGTTTGGACGCGGCTTTTTCAGCAACCTCCCTCCTTTTTATGAAAAGCTGCTCTTCCTCAAAAAATGAGGTTTACGCAGCTTTTCAAAAAAGGGGGGAAGTGCCGAAAAAGCCACATTCAGACTACTTTTCACTTTTGAAAGCTCTGCTTTCTAAAGTAAGATCAGAAGAAGATATGCAAATTCCTGCAGAATTTGCATATCCTCGTTCGACTCTTCTGTGTAGTCTAGACATAGCCTAAGGGTCAAGCTTTGATAGCACCTACGTGTAGATGTTTTTACAAGCCAACTGCCCTCAAAGAAAATCTGAACTGACTTGAGTAAATACTATACTTTCATATGTCAAAAGTAATTTAAAGGAGTTTCTTCACCTGTTGAAAGTGTGCTATATGCTTATATTTAAGGTCTTCACAGTATATATATAAAAAGATTTATGATACAGGACAGTAACTGAAAAATTCAATACCAGATGAATTATTTCACATTACATTATAACAAAATATTTCCAATTACTTTTTGCAAAGGAAAGAAATGATACACAACTACTATCAAATTTTAATAAATCAAGCACTTTTCCTCTCCAAATATTGCAGAAGGGCGATGTCACTGACGTGAAGAAACCTGTAAAGTCTCATGGAAATATTTCAGAAAGCTTGTGTCCAGCCATACATTTTTTGCCACATTCCTAACTTACATTTCATACTTACTAATTTCCAGCTGTCTCAGATTACCACGACAATTTTTAACATCCCCAGAACTGGACTTCATAGAAATGCAGACGAAGGGCAGATTATGGAATTCACATCTCAAAGAAATACAGTTATCTACTATATATTTGGAAAAGTTTGTTTGTGTGTGTCTTCCTGTCTGTGAGTCTGTTCAAGAACACTTCCTAGAGTTCTTGGGGGCGGGGGGCGAAAACAAACACACACACACACACACACACACACACACACACACAGTATTTGATATGTGCCAGGAAAACGGGATGTGCTTGGAATGTGAATGCTTCTCATAAAACGGAAAGGGTGGGGTCTGCTAGCAGGGATAGTTATAGTGAATAATGGGAACTGGGACAGCTATAACGCTATTGGGGCAGAGAAAGGGACAACTATCTACTATACATTTGAGAGAGTTTGTCTGTTTGTGGGTCTGTCTGTCCATCCGTCCCCCAGTCAGGGGGCACGAACCCCTCCCTCTGGTTGTTCCCGCTGCAGCAGCCATGGACAGATGCTTCTTACCTGGCCTCAAGCTGCTGTGGTGAGAAAGAGCAAATGCTTATCGGATAATTGACACACTAGTCAACCAGTTGCTTCCCTCAACCTTGCTGCCTCTATCAGAAAGAGGCAGCAAGGGGGGGAAGGTGAGGCGCTTCAAAGCGGCAGTACCGTGTGGAGCCAGACTCTAGGCTCCATGCAGCGCTGCCGCTTTGAAATGCTGTGGGGAGCACGTGGCCAGCGGAGGAGGGCTTGAGTGCCCCACTGGCCCCGTGCTCCCTACAGTGCTTTCACCTTGGGGCTGTTGCTACACTTCAAAGGCAGAGGCACCCTTATCAACTGATCGAATAGTTGATGCAAATTGCATCAAACAATTGGAATAGCCAATTAATCTAAATTTAACATCCCTCCCCAGAGTAATAAGTTAAACGAAGACAAAAAATATTAAGAATCTGAGCAACACCAAGTAAATCCTCTTGTTATAGGATAAGTACCCATTCTTTCTTCAAGTGATTGTCCTTATGGGTTTCATTCTTGGTGACTAACAAGCAGGAAAGTGTTTGCTTAGAGGTGGGCATGAGGGGTTCCCTTTAAACAATTAAAAGAAAACTGGAAGGTAATAGTTCACATGGAAATCAGAGACAACACTAGCCAGAAATTTGGGGTGAAGTCTGAGAGTCAATCTGTCCTTATGAAACAATGTGTAAGGAGGACTTGCCATGAGAATCTAGTCTCCCTAGCCCTCTGAGCCAATGCACTGGCTACTAAAAAGACTGTCTTCATCAAAAGTGGTAAAGGGAACAGCATACATATGCCAAAAGAATCTGAAAATAAGCAAGTATTGTACAGTTTTATCAGAGTTGCTCCAAGTTAAAATTTTCATACAGCTCATACACATATATTTCAATGTACAGATAAAGACCTATTCATAGAGTTAGAATGTTTCTGCACATGTGCAGGAAAACGATGACATGTACATTAGGGTATGTTATGCTCAGTAAATAGTGCTGTTCCTGGATCATTTCAAATCCTGACATATTTACTATACTTAAGTGGCAACAGGGTGTTTTCTTTAGAACTCAAAAATAATAGAAGTCTAGTAGTTAGCACAAGTGAGCCCATGTCTACATGGCTCTGCTCACAATACTTCTTTGAATTCTCCCAATCCTCAAAGGTAAATAACCCTTCTGAAGTTCAATGTCAGTGACATTTAAAGTAGAGCAATGAAAACAATTCACAATGCTTTCTTTTAAAGGGTGCCTGAAATACATTCTGCTTGACAACATGCTTGTAAATTGAGACTATAAACCTATGGACCCAACTCCTACAAACTCTTCTAAACCAGTCATCTACTTGCCAGTATTAAGGATTCTCTTCTGATTATGGGCTAAGTGTCAGAGAGAGTAATTAGCTATTGTAGAATTGCAGCTATTTTCTTAAATTTCAAACCATTTCGCTATGCACTCATATTTTAATTTAGTAAGGCAACTAAGACAAAACTGTTCAAAGAGGCAGTAATTTTTCCAAAGTAGCACAAAAAGTCACTAATGTGTCTGACATGCGCTGAGTCTACTTCAGAACTTCTGAGAAAGATTAATGCTCACACACACACACACACACACACACACACACACACACACACACACTATAGATTCTATGCATATAGAATGTTGACATAAATCTGGTGTAGTCAAATGACAAAACATAAAAATAACTAAGTCACTTAACAGCTACACAAACCTGGCAATGGCTTGGACATAAATCTTGTTACTGTACTTCAGCTCAGCTCTCTACAACAGTTGTATATTTGTGGTCAGGCAAAAACCCACAGTCCTCCAGTGAGACTGTCTTACAAAACAGAATCTTCTTGAAGATACCACGTCTTTCCTCATTAAACATTTATAACATTTCTCACTGCATGTTTTATTTGTACTGATCAAATCCCAGGAGGAGGTTGATTTAATAAAATATAATAATCATGTAATAGCATCAAGCAACATGTTTGAAATTACAGCTGCAGACAGTACACCAATTTGTTCTGAAGACCCCATGCACCAAGAAGTTTTCAGTTTTGTAGCCTTAAGAAATATGCCGCCTTATAAGCCAGTTATATTCTTTGAAGAGTCTTTTCTACAAAGTATCCCTTTGAACCACCGGAATGCTGCAGAATGCTTAAACTCAACCCCCAAGTGACAACTATGCTTTCAGATTGGGCTAAAATTATTTCAAAAGAGAACATCTGCTAGTGACATGATTCTGAATGAGACATGTTCCACATAGTTCCTCTAAGCAACTTTGTTTACTTTTCAAAAAGTGAAACTGTAGCCTGCTCCTCTATAAGATGAATATTAAATGCTGATGCAGTATTTTGTTGTGTTCATTGCTGCTACTGACAGAGTGCAAACTATCTTCTGTCCTATTTAAACTACATGTAGTAGAGAAACTCTTTTGGAAAGCAAGTAAAAATTCCATAACCAAAAATCTTAACACATCTCCCTCTTCACTCCCTATAAAGTTATTACACATAAAAAACAGAGTTCCTATTTGCTTTCATACCAAGATCTCAACTTGTGCTCACCAATAATTGCTGAACATTAAATGAAGTTTTGCTATCTCTATCTACATATCAACATAGCACACAGGATAAAGGGAAAACCAAAAAAAGCAGTCATGTAGCACTTTAAAGACTAACAAGATGGTTTATATTAGTGGTTCCCAAACTTTTCGACATCACGCCCCCCCCTCCCAAAAATATAGCAGCAAAACTTGGGGTGGGATTGACGGGTGTGTGTGTGGCTGGGTCACCTCATGCCCCCCGGAAGTTCTTCATGCCCCCCAGTTTGGGAACCCATGGTTTATTAGGTGATGAGCTTTCGTGGGGCAGACCCACTTCTTCAGATCATATTCTGAAACTGAATTGGCATGACCATTATATAACAGACGGATAACAATGAAGAAGAAACAAATTACACAGTAACGAATCAGCTACATAGAACAGAAGGTGGGGGGCGAGGAGAGAAGGAAGAGACAAGGAAGGAGGAATTTGTTATTGTAAGAGTCAATTAAGTGGCTAAACTGGAGTTACTATGAATGTCAAAAAGTGGGGAATAGTGATAGAAATGTAGCTGTGTTAGTCTGGTGTAGCTGAAACAAAATACAGGACTATGTAGCACTTTAAAGACTAACAAAATGGTTTATTAGATGATGAGCTTTCGTGGGCCAGACCCACTTCCTCAGATCAAATAGTGGAAGAAAATAGTCACAACCATACATACCAAAGGATACAATTTAAAAAAATGAACACACATAAAAAGAACAAATCAAATTTCAGAACAGAAGGGGCATGCGGGGGGAGAGGGAGGAGGAGGTAAATGTCTGTGAGCTAATGATATTAGAGGTGAGAAATTGGGGAGGTGGGGGAAGGGAGGAAGGGAAATGTCTGTGAGCTAATGGTATTAGAGGTGATAATTGGGGAGGCTATCTTTGTAATGGCTATCTTACCCATTACAAAGATAGCCTCCCCAATTATCACCTCTAATACCATTAGCTCACAGACATTTCCCTTCCTCCCTTCCCCCCGCATCCCCCTTCTGTTCTGAAATTTGATTTGTCCTTTTCATGTGTGTTCATTTTTTTAAATTGTATCCTTTGGTATATATGGTTGTCACTATTTTCTTCCACTATTTGATCTGAGGAAGTGGGTCTGGCCCACGAAAGCTCATCATCTAATAAGCTCATCATTTTGTTAGTCTTTAAAGTGCTACATAGTCCTGTATTTTGTTTCAAAAAGTGAGGAGGCTGTCTTTGTAATGTGTAAGGAGGTAATTATCTAAATTAAGGCCCATTCACAACACATAGAATTTTAGCATAAATAAAAGTTCTGAAGTCTCCCTCTGTAATCTGGTGTTAAAAGTCTCTTTGTAGTAAGAAGCATGTTGTCAGATCTTTAAGGGAATGTCCAGTTTGATTAAAACGTTGGATGATAGGTTTCTCTGGGTGGAGATGTCTGATTTGTGATGTCTGATTTGTAAGCACTGATACTCTGGTAAAGTGACTGACCAGTCTGTCCAATATACATAGCAGAGGGACATTGCTGGCACATGATGGCATATATCACATTGCTGGATGTACAGGAATATGAGCCCTGTATTTTGAATTATTCAGAATTTCAACTCAAAATCTGAGCATAGAAAAATACAAAGAAATAAGTCTAAGAGACTACTTAAGAGGAAAGATTTAGAAGAAAGTAATTCTGATTGTTTTCTGCTAGAGGAAAGAAGTCCAAACCCTTGACAGAATATAATTGTTTTTAATCAGCCTGTTTACAGGTGGGGTTTGCCATACCATATGGGCTAGCAACAAGCAGCATCAAGGATAGGCAAAATAATGTTGCTCTAGCGAGTATGTAGCGCAGTGCAGTCTAGGTCTTCATACAGCCCATTAGGCATTGGTGTGTGACCCAAAAGCATTTTGTTTACCATTGCCCACATTCTAGGTTGCCAGATTCTGCTAGTTTCTCAGCTTAAAATTTTTCCTACTGATATTGCTAATGGGACATACAAGTAAAGCAACGGCAGGTGAAGTGAGGTGCATGATGATTGCACAAAGCACTGACAGAGCCATGCTGTCCCTCAGCATCCAATCACAGCACTGCCACGGTTCAATCACCACACCTGCAAATTCTTGGTACATAAGCACAGTGAGCAAAACTGCCCTATCCTGGGAGACTGTCTTGGATGGGGCTATCTTGCAGCCCACTCACTAGCCGAGGCTGCCTATCACTGGTATCACGGGATAACACACCTTCCAAGTGAGAGTTGAAGTTGTGCGCTACCCAGGAAAGAAAGTTGAGATTCCTCTCTCCCCTGCAGGGACCTGTAAGGCCTCTCCAATCTTTTTCATGAGGTCTTGAAAACTCATTCATGTAGGATCAGCAGGCTGGGGTCTTGAGCATAATCCCATTGGAAAGGCTACAGAAATAGAGATCCAACTGAAGCCTCGGCTTTGATCAGATGAAAAGGAAGGAGAGAGCATGACTCTAGGCACCCCGTACACTATGTACCTTACACACTATGGCAGGGGTTCCCAAAAGTATGCCAATCCTTCCTGACAAGCATAACTACATGACCCCAGGAGGGGGGACCAAAGCCCGAGCGCACCCAAGCTCCACTGCCATGGATGGCAGGCCCAATGCCAAAGCCGCAGCCCAGCCTGCCTGGGTGAGGAACCAAAGCCTAAGAGCTTCAGTACTGGGGCTTTGGCCCCATGGCCCAACAAGCCTTAAGGCAGCCCTGGTGACCCCATTAAAATGAGGGCCCGACCCACTTTGGGGGTCCAACTCATAGCTGGAGAACAGCTGCACTACTGCAATATTTTTTGTATAAAGTATATATCTTGTGAGATATCATCTGATAAATACCATGCATAAAATATACATATCAGTGCTGTATGTGAAATTATGGATACGCGCCAATATTGTGCTTTAACGTCTATGACTAAAAGTGTTTAAACCAGCATGTCAGGGGTATTTGAGAAATAGATTTTCTTCAGACAGTGGAAAGATGATGACACTTCAAACAAGGCGTGTCCCAAATTCAATGGCTTATTCATTTGTATTGGAGGTTGCAGCAGGAAACGATACATTTGCATAATAGCAACCATCAGCAGAGGACGAACACACATGGAGACTTACCTTCCAGACATCATGGCTCCTTTACTAAACTGGAACTAATTCATTTTATCTAGAGGTACCCTTCAGAGAACACTTTTCAAACATGCATTGAACTATAAAGAGAGGGGGCACAAACACCAAAATTATCTTACACCTAAGGACACAAAGAAACCAAGTGTTTTGACGTCTGTGCTTGGTCCTACTTGGGCCAAACAGTAAAAAGTTGGTGAATAAAAGAAAAATCATCTTGAACATCTTGCTAGATGAAGTTTTAAGAGGTGTTTCACAATCATTTGTTTATAACAATTTCAAATTTTATCCCAGACAACTTTTAAAAACTTGTGATCAAAATTCACCAATGAAAGTATTGCAACGTATGGAATTGAGACAACGTATGGAATTTAGCCACACATAGTTATAGGAGAAATAAACAACCTCTAGCAAACAAACAAGGAGTCTGTTCCCTGATAGCTTACCGTTGTCTCTGTTAATCCCCCAACAGATACCGTAAGACCCAGCAGGACATGATACCGATAAGTTGGCAAACCCAAAAGCTGTGTGATTCGAGGGAAGGCTTGTGAGGGGGCATTCCAATTTAAAGTTACAGCCTCGGACCTGTCCAGAGAAAAGAAAATCATCATATGTTTTTATCTTAACACCTCTCCATAGAATCCTGGAATACATCCACACCGTGAGACACTCGTTAGCACTGGCTCTCCACACAGTAATGTAACACACCCATCTTTCCATGTGTATCTATAAACCTTCCAAATTGAAGTTTCCAATTCATGCATCTGATAAAGTGGGTTCCACCCTATAAAAGCTTATGCCCCAAAAAATATGTTAATGTGCCACAGGACTCCTCGTTGTTTTTGATGAAACAGATTAACACTTCTACTCCACTGAAACAGTACATCAGCAATGGAAGAAATGCACTCAGACGGTATAAATCATATTTATCATCATTATTACAGGATATTGGGACAGAGCAAAGAAAAAATGCAGATTTTGTACAGTAATTGGTGTTCTTTGAGATATGTGGTCCCTATAAATACTGTGAGTACACAAGTGCTCCCACAATGAGGAGTACCTATAAGATTTTTCAGGAGCAAATTTTCATTGGTCCAATCCTGTACCCTATGCCATAAGCCCAATGGACTCTCCAGTTCCCACTCTCACTCAAATCAACGGTGATCCAAGCAGACAGGAATGAGTGTGGGTTGCAGAATACCCATAAGGAATACAAATATCAAAGAAATAATTGTGAGATAAGTAACCTACATTTCTTCTTACTCATAGACTCTAAGGTCAGAAGGGACCATTATGATAATCTAGTCTGACCCCCTGCACAATGCAGGCCACAGAATCTCATCCACCCCTCCTAGAATAATCCTCTCACATATATCTCAGATATTGAAGCCTTCAAATACTTTGAAGACCCCAAGATGCAGAGAATCCTCCAGCTGTGATCTGTACCCCATGCTACAGAGGAAGGCGAAAAACCTCCAGGGCCTCTGCCAATCTACCCTGGAGGAAAATTCCTTCCCGACCCCAAATATGGCGATCAGCTAAACCCTGAGCATGTGGGCAAGACTCATCAGCCAGACACCCAGAAAGTTCTCTATAGTAACTTCTATCATCCCTCCATTGACCTATTTACCACTGATAATGAAGGGTCAATTAGTTACCAAGATCATGTTATCTCATCAAACCATCCCCTTCATAAACCCATCTAGTTTAATCTTGAAACCAGATAGATCTTTTGCCCCCACTACTTCCCTTGGAAGGCCGTTCCAGAACTTCACTCCTCTAATGTGAAGCTGAAGGGCTGAATCCTACAGGCCCTCAAAAAGACCAGGCAGGACCAGACTGTTGTCCAGGTTTCAGTCAAAGTTGGGCAATGAGGTCCTTCGTCATGAAGAATCTGTCCTCAAGAAGGTACATTCTGATTGCATTCAAATTCAGTTCCACTCCCATAATTTCTTTACCGTTCACGGAGATTTAAGTGGACTTTTATGGTTAACCACAAGTCCCAGAGAGTGAGAAAGATTTAATGAGGATTGCCACTTGTTCCTTCCTGATACAATCATCTTGTGAGCAGCCAATCATCAAGATAAAAATACCAGACTCTTTGTAAATGCTCTTGGAGCTGACAGGAGGCCAAATGAAAGGCCCGTGTACTGAAATTGTTCCAGGCCCACCAGAAATAAAGTGAAGTAATCTCCTATGTGCTAGAAATGTGGAAGTAGGCATCTGTCAAATCAAGTGCTGCAAATCAGTTGTCTTCGTTAACTGAGCAGATTACTGAGGCCAAAGTGGTTATCCTGAACCTTGAATGACATATGGCGACATTTGGTCATCTGAGATCCAGGATGGGTCTCCAGCCCTCTACAGTGTCCTCTCTTGAGATGATCTACACACTGCACATGAGAAGGAAACAGCCCAGATGCCCACTGAAAGGTGCAATGAGTGGTTGAATGGAGAAAGGCTAACTTTCCAGTGCAAGCTGGGAATCGTCAAAGTCAGACACAGGACTCACAGATTTGTCCGACCGCTCTGTTTATTAGCACAGCCGCTCTGCTAATACACCCAGAACATGTGAGTACCATACAAGGCTCAAACCCCTTAGATTTATTCAGTCAAAAGAAAGCCAACCTAACAAGATTAAAAGGTGGCAAAACTTCACATGATTAGTATGAGACTAGCCAAGTATCTTCATTTCCACATCAAGCACACAGCAATCTCCTGTCCATATCTCCCTGGTTACCTCAATTACTTTCTGCCTAACACCTAATGTTCCTTTTCCTGTTATCCCAGGCACACCTGGCTTCATTCTGATCTCCATACCTACAAACATAATCTTCTCTTACAATATAATTCTTTCTACTTTGACAGAGTGAAAGGAGGATGGTGGTAGAGTAATTCTGCCTTCTGCAGAATTGTATCCTCAGGAAATCAGGTGGTTCAAAAAACTTTTGATGAGAGAAGAGCTGAGAGGCAGAACGGTATCTATGAGAAGTCGGCCTAGAGTATTTCCTCTTGGATGCAGGGGCATAGAGTCCCAAAGAGCTGAGCATGGCATTGATAATCCTTAAGGCAATGGAGGAATTCATTGCTTTACTCACTAAACAGATTGTTACCTTTGAAGAGGAGATTTTTCACTACAGGCAGTCCCCGACTTACGCGGATCCGACTTATGTCGGATCCGCAGTTACAAACGGGGCTCGCCCCGGAGGACACGGACTGCAGGACCTCGCGGTCCTGCCACCCGTGTACTCCGGGGCTTTCTCCGCGTCTCCCTGGTCTGCAGACCAGGAAGACGTGGAGCAAAGCCGCAGAGGGGCTCGGGCAGCTTTGCAAAGCCTTGGGGAAGCCGGCAGCGGGACAGCCCAGACGCCCCGCGGCTGTCCCACTGCTGGCGTCCTCAGAGGCTTTGCTCTCCGTCTCCCTGAACTGCTGGTCTCCAGCAGACCAGGGAGACGGGGAGCAAAGCCGCGAAGGATCCAGGCGGCGGGACCACGGTGCGTCTCAGTCCGCCACCTGCGTCTTCCTGGTATGCTGGGGTGGAGGACGGGGGGGCGCAGCTAGTACCCCCCCCTCACCCCCCCAGCAGACTAGGCTTTTTTCCAGACGCCTGTGGCAGAGCAGCTGGGGCGCTGCCGGTTGGTCCCGCAGCGCCGCTCTGGGCGCTACTGGACCAACCCGGTAGCACCCCAGCTGCTCTGGCCCAGGAGTCCTGATTCAGCCACTGCCGGTCAGTTTCAGCAGCGGCTGAATCAGTACACCTGAGGCAGAGCAGCCGGGGGGGGG